CTTTTCACCTGGCAACGTGTTTTCCTTTCTACTTTTCACTACTCTCCGTGCAACGGCCTGATATTTCGAGGAATACGTATAGAAGTAAGGATTGAAAAACCAACGGATTTGCTATATTTTTATCTGTACGAATTTGCGAACTATTTTCCCATAATCCTTTTATCCTACCGTATCCTAGCCACGATTTATCCCGTCGTTGTAATAACATTCGAGTATCGAGTACACACAGTGGCCGAGAATGGGTAAACATTATTACAATAGCCAGAAACGCTAAGACCTCTATCTTTCGAATTCGATATCGGTTGCATTACGTTCACCTGCGAAAGAAGAATCGTATCGGTTCTGAAACAGATGCTTCTGTTTGCAGAACATCGGGAACACGGAGGCCAGGGGTTGCACCGCGCCCGTCGGAAGCGAATTCATGAATTCTATTAATCTCGACGATGCACCTGCACCCTTTTCATAACGCGAAACTGTAGAACCGTAAACTGTAACCTTGGAGAACGGGGCGGGATTCGAACGACTGGTTCTTTCCACCCCTCTGCTGGCCGTTTCTCTCTTCGGCAGCAGATACAAGCGAGACGAGTTTCGCGCTAATTCGAAAGACGAGAGACGACCCTGAGCCGGTTCTAATCTCGTTCGTGCCGCGTTCGCAGTATCGCGATGAAAGGCGTGCCTTAATTTTCGTGCCGAGGGGGAAAAAAAGCGTCGAAATACGATAGATGGTAATGAGTCCGGCACCACCGCGACTCGAATATCTCGAGTCTCCGAAGTTATTCGAGGGTTCTTTTTGTTCGAATGCCGTCGCGTCGGCGCCGAGATCGCCTTTCAATTCCGCGAACACCAACTTTCATCCCCCACCACGTGGGGTTAATATCCCCGAATCGTGAGAAAAGAGAACGCTCTTTAACACCTTCGACTCGATTTCTTTTTAAGCTAGGAGAATATTGTCGCTGTGTTAAGCATCTTCGACATAGAGAATGGAGTTCAATGACCTATAACATTGGATACTGAAAATAGTTACCCCGACTACAGCATATTCGCACGACGAGAAGATGGCGATCGAGTGGCTGGAAGTTATAACTCAAGATGGAGTTTAATCATGCCTGAGACGGGGACCATGAACTCGAGAACCTCCCTGCTGAACTCCGCTATCAATTTTTCGTTATCTACCATCCCTTCGGAATAACGCTCTCGCGTCTTGACCTCTTCAAGAAGCTCAACAACAAAAAGTCTTTTTATTTCCCCGAAATTACCAGCTTCGAAGTTCCAAGCATCACAGAGCGACGTACAAATGCCAAAGTTTGGAATCGCGCGTTCCTCGATTGAAGCTGATGCTATCGTCGTGTCTCTCGATCCCGGTTGGAACGTTCTAGTCGCATTCGGCACCGGTAAACTTGGACAACGTTCCGAGGCCGTCTGCGAAAAATCTGACGTTTGAAATCCCGGCTGAAATGTGGCTTGGTTTACCTGATATTGCCGGCAGGATGACCCGAAACTCTTTCGAACTCTGATATCCAATCTCTGCGGACTCACGCGAAACACAGAGGTCATCCAAGCCCTGGAAATCCTGGTCAACCGTGAGCGCTAGTCGCGAGGCTCTGGAAAATGATTGTCAGGGACTATCGACTTTTCCTTGCGCCATAATTTGATGACGAATCACCTTCTCTTCAAGGTGGAGTGTACTAATAATAATATAATAGGATACATTTCACTTGTGTCAATTTTGTTTAAACTACATCTCGGTTTCTTAACACTAAACCTACCACGACCGGTCAAATGACCGTTTTCAAATTTTTGCATACAGTTCTTAAGTTTGCATTTAATTGAAAAAGGTGTCATTTGTCCCATCACGATAGAAGTAGTTACGCATAGGGACGCAAACAATGCTCGAGTATACATGGTCGTTCACCAGCGCATACATTGCACCGCTACATCCCACTGGATGGTATGCCTAATTCGCTATAACTCCTGCAACTCGCAAGCCTGGCCGCGCTGTTACAGGATAATGCTTTTTCCCACCTCCTGAGCTCCATCGGCGCTGCTGCGACGGAAAGTCGATAGTCTGATGGAGCCCTCACTCGCAGGCACAATTCCCTCGCGCGAGGGAACCCGCTTTCCCGTTCGTCGATCAGCGATTTGGATCAGAAATCGCCTCTCTCCGTGGGTGCGAACTTCGACGCGGGAAGACGCTCGAGGAGGAGGCTACGATCAAAATTCACCAGGAGCTCCTCGACGTAATTCACCGTGACGATCCACGAGACCGGGGCTCGCGGGGAAAACCCGAGAAAATCATCGTCGGGGACGTGCTCTCCGGCAAAAAGCTCGAATGTCAGGGCGAATCCTTTTGTTCGCGTACGTGTGCAGATAGCGGCACACGACGGCGACGGGGGGTGCACGCGGGTTCGCTTGTGTCGTGACAAGAAACTCGGAGGAGAGGGGCAAGGACCGACGCGAATACAGGACGTTCAATAAAGCTACGTGTCCACTCGGGAATACATGTCGCGAATTATTCCGGCGAGCGGGATCCGTTCACAATTGAGAATTATTTCTCGCTTGCGTTCGGGGAGACAGCTGTCGGAAAGTAAACATTTACTTATCCGTGGAACGAGTAAAAAATACTCTGTGGCGTGGAATCAAAGTCGAGAGTATTCGTGGTATGTTAAATCTGGGTTGCGTATCCAGCGCATCACATTAGCTGTCCTATGTTGAGTGAGACTCGACGGAACTGTACCGAAATCAGAAAACCTGGACAGCAAAGGGTTAACGTTCCCGTGATTTTGTACAAGTGAAACGAATCAAGAGTTGTTTATCTTGCAATCGCTCTTCGAGATTTTCAATCCAGAGAAAGTTCTTTGGGACGAAGTCACCCTTGATTTTATTCCGTCCCGGCGGTCCTGGAATGGCCTGTAGCCCACGAGCGACGGAAAAGGACCCAGAATCGGACGAGACGGGGGCGAGGTCGGTCTGCGGAGAACGAGAGAATTTAATTTCTCGGTAACATTACACCTTAGGAGCCTTATTCCAGCGACTTTGTGCGCCTCAGGGGGGTGGCGCAGAGAGACACTCGATCGCAGGACTCCATTTGCGGTTTAGCATAATGGAAACCCAACGCGCCCTCGGGGCCAACGGGGCTCTCTTCTCTCCTTTCTTCTTTCCACGGTGTCTCGCTACGCTTCCTAGCCACGTTCCGTTGCAGAAAAATAAATAAGTTCAGGCAAACGCCGCGGGAGTGGAGACGCTTGATCTGTCGTGAACGCGGTCGTTCACGGACCTGCGTCGACCCTGGATTCTCTTCAGTGGTAGTTGACGCCCCTCGGACAAGTGGCTGGCGAAATTGGCAGACCGGGATGTCTTCCTCTGCGTGTGCGTCGCCTCCTCTACGATCGTTTCAACGCACCTGGAAAAGTGAATCGATAGGGTATTTTAGTATAACGAGGAAGCGTGTAGACGCCTACTGTGCAAATCATCGCACATGCATCGAAAACAAAAGTGCATTAGACACAATGTGAACGTGCTTATCGGTAAACGTACCATTCTCTTGCCGTTTTGAAAACTTTTTAACGCAGAGCTAAGAGCAACGATGTATGATAAACTCTGTACCGGATAAAGTGCCGGCGCTATTGATAAAATCGATGTCCCTTGCAGCCGAGACCATACACGCCATAAAACGTGCTCAACGAGCGGAAAGTGGACGTTGCTTCTTCTCGCGGCGTGCATCGTTAAAGTGGACATTTTAATTTTACCAACTACGTAGACACAATTGGCTCGGAGGGTCACTGTCGACGTTCCACCCTGTCGCTCGAGCTTAATGACCCCTAATGACGGGTTAAAAATATCCAATCCTGGGGTAAGATCGAGGGTTGATCGCCTGTCGCTGAACACATCGAACGACGCCTGCTGAAAAATTCGCGCCCATCGAATTCCGCGTTCAACTTTCCAAGCAGCGCGATACGGCTCTGTTTGAAAATCATTTGCCATTGAAATTTCGTCTGGACGTAGTTCACGGAGTCGACGTTTATTACGCGAAACAAACGATTGCGGTCGTTAATCGGGACACAATTTGATTACATTTCCATTTGGCCGACCTAGATGGAAAAACTGCAGCGACAATTATTCGCTGTTGAAATATAATAAATGGGCGACGAATATCGATGCTGATTTGACGGTTGATTGCGTAGTTTAAAGATGGCAGGTAACGATTCGTTTAAAGTAAAATTACACTCGTTACTTCGTAGCGTACTGTCTCGCACCGCTTAGACTTCGCTGTTAGACATTTGGTCGAGTTTTAAGTTTAAAAGGTATGGGCGATATCATGTTATAGAGAGACGCTTCGTTCTCGCGTATATGTATATTACAAATTTGTGTGCCTTAACGAACGCTGAATTAAATGTTCCAGGCTCGTTAGCTCGCTGGATCGAGCAAAGGGAAAGATCTCCCCGTAGGATATTCCCTAAAAGAATTATATGGGTAATCGCCTTGCAGACGAGATAATTGCAATCGACGAATGGAACAAAGGGTTAACTCGACGCTTCGCTTCTGCGTAATTTATATTTCGGTAACTTACTTGCTCTAGGACGATCTCTCAATTAGGGTCGGTCTCACATGGGCAATTACTGTAGTCTCGGTAACAGAGAGAACGCAACGTTACATTTTTTTCTAGGTGGACTGAAAAGTAGTATCGTTTCTGCGAATCTAGATACTTATTTATCATTCATCAGCTCATTGATTTTTATCGATATGGCATTGAACATTTAAATAATTAAAAATAGAAATTTATTAAGAATGTATTTGTTTTGAATTTAATGTAAAAGAAATTACGTTACTTTTCGGCCCTTCTAATAATATGAACTGTTCCTTCTTCTTATACTGCAGCTTGTGAATTTTTCTTAGGCTCTTGTTGTACTCTTTAGAATAGACTATGACTGTTCTCCTGAATTATCCTTTGTCCCTCGCTGTATTTCCACGAGTTCTTACCATCGTTACCATTTTTGTTCCAGAGGGGCTGTGATGAGGGAAGCCGGTTAAAGGACCCTGTGTCGCGCAGGCGCCGGTAGGAGTACAGGAAAGATGCTGCCTTCCTCGAGAGCTTTATTAAGCCCGCTGCTGCTTCTAATCATCGCTGGAAGCACCGGTGCCTTCGGCTCCCGACAAGGAGGTAAGAAACCATCTCTTGGAAGATGTTTTGTCCCTGGAGGGCGACGACGACCCGCTGGGGACGGGGAGCCAGCGTTACCTCCTGTACTTCGTCAATTTTCACCAAGTTTTCCCGGGGAAAATCTGGTTAAGTCGTTGACCGACTTTTCCCACGGCTGGCTATTCTCGTAGCGTCGCGGAGCTTCGTTGTTTTCGCTCGAACACCGGTCGTTTAGCCGTTCCGGCGGCGTTGAACGCTCGCGAGGATCGAGGACCTGTTGGATGACGACCCAGTTAGTCCTGGTTTCAAATTATGTAAGCCGAAGGGACGAGTCTCGGGCCAAGTTCTGTGAATAACGACTCTGTCCGACTCCCTGTTGCGTTGCAGCTCGATGCTAGAGCACGCCAGTCTCGAGCAATAAATATTTGCGTCGCGAAGTTTTTCTTTTCTCCGAATGAACGACGCAATTTACTCGTGCTTGTCTCGCATTTTCTCGTTGTCGAGGACGTTGTTACGCGGACTGTAATGAATTTGATGATTACGCTTAAGCAAAGATCAACGAATGCCTCCTGGTTTATTTAACTCGTAGACTGTTCGTTTCTGGGTGACACGGTTTTACTTAAAAGAATTAGAAACCGTAGCTTGTTTTTGACTCTTCCAAGTGTATATTTCTCGTTGCGATTACATAGCCAAGTAGAATCCGAGGCTCGTAAACGTTCCGTAACAGATTCGCGAGACAACGGTGGTCCAGGCTTAATCCAAACTGGCGCCGTTTCTCGGAATTACCGTGAGACGGGCCAACATCTGAATTTACACGACCTTATTTTGGAAAAGCACGCGTGGCCCACACGATACGTCGGAACGTTTCTCTGTGACTTTTCCTAGCGTTGGGACCAAGCGACATGCAAGCAAATACTAACCCTGGACGGTTGATATAATAGGTCAGAGTAACTTGTACCTGTGTTACGGGCTTCTTCTGGTACTGGATCCAGGTTTTGAAAGCGGTACGTTGCAAGCGTACACTGTTTGAAACATTACTTCTTATGACCAGCGACGCGAAGGAGACTTGGATATTGGACTGGGTTCGGATTCGCGAGTAAATATTGAACTTAATCCCATCGCTACTCCTTCGCCATCCGAAGTCATCCCCTCCTATTTTCCAACCCTTGCCCTCTTTTGTCGGCCAGCTCGGTCCTCAACGCTGTCCCTGTCGTTTCTCTGGCCGTTTGTCCGCGTTTCGCTTTGCTCGTATTCGCGAAGGGAACACCTCTTAGCGGCCATTTCCTAGATTAAGGTCACCTGGAGAGCAAATAGTTTGTTAGGAATGAAAAGAGGGAACTGGCTGGTCCAACGTCAACGCTGAACTTCCAGTGTATACGGTTGTGGAAAACTATTTACGCGCGAAACGCTACTGCATTTCAACAGTAGACCTCCCTTTCGATGTAAACCTCATTGTTTTCGACTTCTCCGAGCTAACCTGGGACACGTTTCCGCCTGTTACATTCGACCCTGTGTTGCACGTTCTTCAGAGTCTACGTTGGTCTCTGTTTCCGTACAGATTTATATTGTACTAGGGAGACACGAATCCCTTATAGTTCTAGAATTGTAGTTATACGTTGGAAAGTATGGTACGTTCTTGCCATGTACAGTCAGTCCCAAAAATATTCGTACTCTCTAAATCTATTAAAGACTTTTGTCTAAATTGAATGACAGGTTTGGTGTTTCAAATAAATGTTTCAAGCTCTCGTTTCTCCATCAAGAAGATTGAGTCAAACGAGAACACGGAATGTAGGGTACGGGATTGGTCGTATAGGTAAAGCGATCGACTGTGGATCCGAGGATCGTGGGTTCGAATATCCGTGCCTTATTTTTCGTTTGGCCTCCTACGTGATTTACGAAACTAGGAGCAGGTCCAAAATAACAGGTGCCTTCGTCTTCTTCGTGACGTTCTTTGTTCCAGCGCTCATCCAGCTTCGAAACTTCACCTAAGCTATTCGCGTTGCTCTACAAACCTCGTTCAACGGAACTATGGGACCGATCGTATAGTAGGTCTCACGGTGGTACTACTCCGAGGTCATGAATATTTTCAGTTTCACGGTTTTATCACTGGGAACGCCAAGGGTCGGAACCTCAATCTCTCGTAAAACGAAACCATAGATTCCGGAAGAGCGAGTAGTAAATCGTTGGGAGAGTCTAGGAATCCTTGCCAGTTTGCGTCGATCAAGATGAACGCTCCCCAAGCTGGCGCGGAAACAAGTTTCGTCATTGGTAGCTGCGTCCGCTACAGTTTGTAAACTTTTTTTGGCCATTGAATAATAAATAATTTATTCCAGAGGCCATTTCATCGCACTTCTCAATATTTTGTTTCATGGAGTTAATCAATTTATGCAACGAACGGCTCATTTATGTCCTCGTGTCATAGATAGACTAAGAAAGGTCACGTCGCCTTAGTGAACTGTAAACCCCCGAGAATCGAAAGTGGCAGGCACACGCCCAGTCATCGACAAAACTTCCCAGTGGCCACTCTCTGTACCGAGAAGATTACAATTTCCTTCCAAGTCGAGAACATCAACGCCACTTCTTTCAATTGCACTAGTGCAATTCGTGTCGCGGATTACCGTTCCGCGAGCAGCGGAACCCTTGAGATTTTATTTTCCCGCTGGGTTTGCCAGTAGGGGTCGCTATCGTAACCCTTTAGACTCCGAGATGGCAGTTCCAACCGCCCATTGACCCAAATCCCCAGGTTCGTGCCAGGCGAAGTTTCACCTAGACGCGGAGGATTCGCGAAGCTGATGCAACTGATTTCCTGTCCTCGAGGAACGAGAAAGCCCCGTTAACGTCGCCGAAGGAATGGCTGGCCAAGTTTTTCAGCGAACAGTGAATTCTTCTCTTTCGAGAACATCCTGTTTCCCTTTCTAGGCGCTGGTCGATTAGCTCGGAATTCGTGTCCCCGTTTCTCGTCGTGCCACGTCAAAAACGAGAGGGCGCAGGGTGAAACGCCTAATCGCGGGGCAAATAAGATTATCTGATCGAATTTTAATGGCGAGCTCGCGTGCCCTCCGTGACGAGAAGGTCCCGTCCCTATTCTGGTTAAGGCGATCGTAAAGAGCGGTGTTCTGCTCGTTAATGCGGGAGCAAATTCGACCACGAGCACGCTCCACCGGGGGTAGGGGGTTGTATGCCCGCGTCTAGCGAGTCGCCCAATCCCCGAACTCTCGACCAAATTACAACCCCGCGAACAAGCTGTCCCAGTTATCTTTTACCGCGCTTCCAGGTCTCTCGTTGCTCTTTATATCGCGGTCGTACCCTCTTCATCTTTTCGCTCGCCGCCTCTCGAGCGTACCACTCACTTGACATTTTCCTTTTGTCTTGCGCGGACACTGGCGTGGCTGTTTTTATTGTTCCCAATTGGGGTATTTACTCGTGGCTGCAGTTCCACGGACGAGGTTGACGAAGTTAATTTTGTTGTTCGAACAACGCCCGCTTTTGGACGAATCCGAGCAAACATCTGCGAGAAAAGTTTGAAGTCCATCAGAGAATTCTATTCCTGACTATGGTGTCAAATGATCATGATATCAAATTAACCCTTTGCACTTGGAATCATTTCGTTACAGAATATGCAAACAGGAATCAGGTCATATTACATAATGTAACTTGTAAAGCATGTAATTTACTGTAACGATACTCGCGCATATATGAATCTTTAGACATCGAGAAACATATTTATGTCATAATTACGTTCGAGTTCTCCCAAGCATCCGTAAACGAATGCACTTTCTGCAAGCCGCGTAAATCCCTCCCGTTGTTTCTTTAATGCATTTTTATTCCTACCCAATTCCACTGCCGGCAAAATGACGCGAAGTGTGGTAAATTTCAGCGAAGAGGGAAAAATGTCGGTTCCCTTGGAGCGACAAAGTCTCGCTTATCGTTCTTCCCTCGTTTACCAGGACGCCCTGTTGCCTCTGTAAAACTGATTAACGTGATCTTATTAGCGAGATGCGTCTCGGTGTCGCGAGTCGAAGATCAAAGCGTAAACAAACGCTTGCGCGACGCGTCGTGACGGTCCGAGCCGCGTGTTTCGCTTAATTGCGAGTCCTTTCGGACAAGAACAAACCCCTCTGCGTGCCCGACACGTCTTTTCTCCTGGACGACGCGACGGTTTACTCTTTCCCAGACACGTCACGATTACGGGTCGTTTTGTTAAAATGCTCACGGACGCGGACGACCGCTCTAATTGCGAATCTTGGCTCGTTTCATTGGGTACAGTTCTGTGTATAAATGCGAGATATTATCGGGATAAGAGTTCCATGCAATGAAGGAAATATACACTACTCCGGACAGTCTTAATGGCATTCGCGTTTGGTGAAAAGAATCTCGCGTACATCTGCATCGGAAGAATAACTTTTTTAATTATGAATATGAACTGACCTTTTCGAAAAAGGTTTTTTTCTCAACCCTGTAGCTGTCGTAACTCGGAAGATGATCATTACCATGCCTGAGAACGCCAAATAAAGAACATTGGCGAAGGCTCGAGCAAACATGAATCTTTTTCCAAAATTAAACACCAGTTGGAATTTTCCTAAAAAACACGAAGATAAAGAGCCGAGAACGAGTACGAGCCAGTGTGTACTCGGCTCTCGCGACATTTCTCAGAGCACGCGTTCTCCAACCTGTTAGCCTTTTTCCGTATCCCGCCCTCGACTTCTTGTCTCCATCTTCTCGGCCGTTCTTCCAGCAACTTCCTCGCACAAGTGGTCGTCGGATAAAACTCGCCAAACTGGAGTCCCCGGACACGCGAGTTTCGCGCGAGTTTGCCACCGATAAGGGAGGAGCGCGTCGCGAAAATTCCGAGGCAAGGCGAAACGCGTTCCCCTTTTACTTTTCAGTTTCACCCTGATAAATTGTTTACTCGATGGGACAAACTTTCGGAGCGGCCATCCTCGTTGTTTTCTAACAGTGTCGTAACGACCGCACGGTCTTTGTCTTCTTTGTTACAAAGACGCGGTAGAGGCTGGGGACGC